TTATTTTTTAATAAAAAAAATAACCTAAAATTACGCCAATTGAACCAAAAAGGTATGCAAAATTCTTAAAACTTTTGAGTAATTAAATTTTTAATTATTATTACATCAAAAAATTTATACCAAAATCCAGATAATCTTATATTTATTATTTTTTTTTAAATAAATAAAAAAAAATATTAAAAAAAAAATATTAAAAAAAAATAATATTAAAAATTTCCCCTTGATTCAGTGAGTTACCTAATAACAAATTAATATATTTAAATGACAATTTTCAATTATAATATATACGTTAGCGTCAATGTGTTAATTTTAAACTTTAATTCATTTTTGATCATGTTTTCTTAGATTTAAAAATCTGATTTTACCGGAAATGTATTCCCCCATATATGGAATACTTACCCTATGATTTTCAGATAATTTTGCCATGAACTTTTGAATCAAATATAATTTATATTAGTTTTTCCATAGATTGTTTATATAAATTATAAATGACTCGAAGGTTAACGGCAAAATTGTCTACAATGGATAAGATAGGTATTCTAAACATGCTGGATTACATTCCGATAAAATCAGATTTTTAAATTTAAAAAAAAACGCGCTCAAGAAATGATTTAAAGTTGAAAAAATAACACATTGCCGGAAAAACACATTGCCTCTAACATATATATATACTCGCGCATATATATTTATTGAATCTATTGCTTTGTTTTAAAGAAATTTATAATTTTGATAAAATTGTTTTATAGATAATACAACTTCCACAGCGCAGCCCTTAGTAGGTTAGTTCTCTGTTAAATAGACCATGCATTATTTTGCTAATTATTTTAAATTTTTTATTTTATTATTAAAATAGTTAAAAATCTTCAAAACACCACAATAAGTTTTATATATTTATTTTATTATTTATATAAATTATAGGTTCTATGGACTAGGCATTCATTTTAATATATGAGATAACCTACCTTATCAAATGATATGAACCGTTTATAGTCTATAATATCAAGGTTTTTCGTGTATTAATTATAATAATTAAAGACCCCTCATTTAAATAAATTAAATAAACAATTTTGGTAAGTCATTGAAACTCGGGAAAATTTTTAATATTATTCTTATTTTATTTTTTTTTAATATTTTTTTTTAATATTTTTTTTTAATTAAAAAATAAATATGTGATGTGTGAATATGGGCGGAAATTTTTTGGTTTAATAATAATTCAAAGTTTCATGTGCTATATTGGATGCTACTAAGTTAGGACTATATCAAATACTAGATAATTAAGCAATTTATTTGAATAAACATAATATATAAACAATGATAATATAGATATTTATAATTCTAAGGAAACAAAATTAGTTCTATATAAATTTATATCATTTAAAAATTTAATTAATTTACTTAAATTTGACAATGAGAGGAATATTTTCTTCCAGTTACGGGATACCTCCATAAACGCTCAATACGTTGAGTATGGGTCGATATATTATTTGGGTCTATAAAGTTTCTGCTGTGATTATCCGAGTAATGATCATATCCATTTTCATTAAGATTGTTATAACTTGAAAAAATATTAAATTTTAAGATTTGTGCGATCTCATATTTATTATTTTTTAATAAAAAAATAACATTTAAAAAAAAATAATAAAAAAAAATAATAAAAAAAAATAATAAAAAAAAATAATAAAAAAAAATAATATTAAAAATTTCCCCGAGTCTCAGTGACTTATCACAATTTTTAATTATTGTTCCTTATGGGAATAAAAAAAATACATGATATATGATCTTTCTAAGTCTAAATATGATTGTTTATTATAGAGTATATTGACTAGTGTTGTTAAACGGTTCGTTTTGAGCCGATTTTTAAAAACGGCTAACTCAGTTTTTTATCCAGAAAAATATTACGCATGCCTGAAAATTTTGCTCATAGAAGGAGCAAAGACCTAGACATATAGTATCGAAATTTCGAGGCTTAGTCAATATCTGGCAAAAATATTGAGTTAACCGTTTTTTAAAAATCTGCTCAAAACGAGCCTTTTAACAACATTAATATTGTCATTACTCTTTAAAATCATTAAAAAATAAAATAATTACAATGATATTTTATTTTTTTTTGCCCAGCCTGGCCCAAAATATTTAGATGTTGGGCTGGGCCGGGTATTAGGCTTGGCAGGGTATGATTAACTACTGTTTGAGATACGTTAGGAGTTAAAGCTTAGTCCATTTTATTTGGTTTAGAAAAATATTGATAAATATCAAATTGGTATCTTTATAGTAACAATAACAATTCTAATAAATAATTTTTTTGCATTTATTTAATATACTTATAGTATTCGTTTTAAATATATTTTAAAGTATCATTTAAAAGCTATATGAAGAATTTTGATCAACTTTTTCGTAAAGATAGAAGAAATGGCACAGCAGAGCCCCTAATAGGTTGATTAAATTAAATAGACTATATAAAATATTTTACTAATTTGTTTTATAATCTTTTATCTTCCTATTTAAAATAAATAGTAAAAGAACTTCTTAATTCGACAGGAAGTAAGATTTAAAATACTAGCTTGTAGTTCGAAATTTTTATAAGTAAAACCCCTAAATCCTATAAAATAAATTATAAATAATATATATAGTCTTTATTTAAGTCCCTTTATATATTATAATTTATAAAAGCGATATAAAAGTGGTATCTTATAATTAGTTAAATAAAATGGGGCATTGAGTAGGGGAATTCTAATTTTAAATTAACGACTCCGAATCTTCCCTATTTGGATACCCTACCCTATCCTTAATATATATGTCGTATTGGGATATGGAATCAGAGAATCGGAATCCCAACATGGGGATTCGAGATCTTGAATCCCCACGTTTTATTCGAATTTAAAATATATTCCGAATCCCCATGAAAAAAAAAAAATAATATAATTACTTTTTCTTACCTTTTTTGCTGTCTGGCTGGTACCATATAATTAAAAGGTCAAAATAAGGGATTTAAAAAGAAAATTTAAAATAAAAGTAAATAGTATAAATTTAAGGCATATAATGAATGAAAAATAAGGTTAAACTAGGTTTTTGTAAATTTATATGAAATATTAAATATTTTTACATGAATATATATTTTAAAAAAATCAAATTATTTACTGCAACAATACTTCAATGCTATATGACATTTCGTTGAAATTTAAGGTTGTTCTTGAAACACTAACACCTTTTATTCATGTAACCCATTTTGCAATTGCATAACGATGGTTTCCCATAGTTGTGACATTCCGGAAGCTCCTAAATATTTTTATCAGTTTAAATTAATAATTAATATATTCTATGTACATGAATTAATTTGAGAAGTATATGTGATTACTATAAAAATAGCTTAAATTACCTATGATTGATATATCTTTGTTGGGAACTTCAAAATCATTTAATTTTATAGTTTTATAAAGACTAGTGGCAATAAATGGTGTTGAAATTCTTCCAGCACAGGTTCCTACTCATATTTTGTTCAATTTTAAATATTTTCCCTTCTAAATTTTTAGGAATAAAATAACTCAGAGACCTGCAGAGGTGCCATTTGCACGGCCCGGCCCGAATTTTAAAAAAAAATATATTATATTTTTAATGGCGATTTAAAATATTTGGTTTTAAAATATACGGCGCCTGGGTATTTATATTAAAAAAATTAAAATACGACATGACCCGTGTATACCCGGACCGGGCTTAGGGCCGGACCTGCAGGTCTCTGAAATAACTGATATGAATTATCAATAAATTTAATTTTAATATAAATTAGTAATTGTATTGGGCGAGATTTTTTTTCATAGAATTTCTAAATTATTACATTTTTAAATGAAAATTTATCTATGATTTAAGAATCTTATTGGGTGGGATTTTTTTCCATGGAATATCTAAATTATTACATTTTGAAAATTTATATTAATACAATTATTTTATTTCTAATATAAGTTTTAAATTTTTTTAATGCCTCAAATTTTTTACCCAAAACAGTTACAGAATATAATTTTTATAGAACCATATTAAAAACACCCAAGTACAAATCTATTCAAAATATACAGAAAGAAATGTAGACAATATTTTTAACGATTCCGTCACTTTTTTTATTGTTTACAAATGAGGAAAATTATATGAAAGCTATATACATTGCTACTTAAATAGCAAAGGTTTCAATCAAAGATTCGTGCTTTCGAATTGTCCATAATATTACTAATAGTTTTTGTTCAAAAAATATTGCGATAAAATTACATGAAAAAATAGTTGTGTTACCAATAATATTGGGATTAGTACTTGTTTTATAAAGGGCCCCTTCTTTTATTTCATATTTAAATGATCGTGGGCGTCAAAACATAATTTATTCTTAAATAATTGGACAAAATAACTTTATCTTAGGTCATCACTTGTTATTACCTATCCATAGGACAGATAGAACAAATATCTGTCCTAAATTTATAAGGGAAAGTATTAAAAATTGAACAAAATAAAATATGAGTAGGGTGTGCTGGAAGAATTTCAGCACCATTTATTGCCTCTAGTCTATATAAAACTATAAAATTAAATGATGTTGAAGTTCCCAATAAAGATATATCAATCATAGGTAATTTAATCTTCTTTTATAGTAACCACATATACTCCTCAAATTAATTCATGTACATAAAATATATTAATTTTCTATCTAAACTGTTAAAAATATTTAGGAGCTTCCCCGAATGTCACAAAATATATGGGAAAACATCGTTATGCAATTGCAAATGGGTTGCATGAATAAAAGGTGAGTGTTTCAAGAACAACATTAAATGTTCAACGATATGTCATATTGCATTAAATAATTGTTGCAATAAAATTTTTTTTTAAATTCGGATTTTTTTATAAAATATATATTCATGTGAAAAAATTTATGATTTTATATAAATTTACAAAAAAATGTCTTTTAACCTTATTCCTTTCCATTCATTATATGCCTTAATTTTATTCTATACATCATAAAATTTGTCCCCATGACTGAAAGAATTGCAGTTCTATACCTGAATACCGCCTACAAACCCACAATTCTCCTCAATGTTTACGTCCCTCCAAAACTTACAGAAAGAAGGATATTCTTGGAACATCTGGAAAGTGTGATAAGCTCCTTGCCTAAAAGATACAACAATATAGCGATGAGAGATTTTAACACTAAAATAGGTCATAATATAATATACAAAGTTAGTAAAACTATAGGTAACACAACAGTTTACAACAGTAATGATAAGGATGGGAAAAAACTTCTCCAAATATGTTTAGACAACAATTTAAAAATCGAAAATACTTTTTCTAAACATAAACCTCTCCACCTCATATCCCACTCAAGAGGTGGACACTCCTCCCAAATTGACTTCTTTCTATTTAATATCCACAGCTGGTTTGCAGATGTAAAGGCCATCCTAAATATAAATATATCAGATCACAGATTAATTAAAGCGCATATAAAGATACAAAGTGAGGAGTGGAGAAACAATAACCAGGCACATCTATAACACAACACGCGCAGCTCCAGAACAAACTCCCAAATGGCACTTTACCAACATAAATGCTTCAGTTTTGAAAACAGCCTACAATGATACAATCTGCTCAAACATAACTAGAATAATCCTGCCCTTACCTACCAAATCACTAGAGGAATGCTGGTCGGATTTCAAAAATGCAATTTTCCACGCCTATAATAACTTAAAACATAGCCAAATACCAAAAAGAGAATGGCTCTCAGTAGAAACAAATTTAATCTTATCAATAAAAAACGATAGCAGTCGCAATTTAGAGCTATGGAGGCGTATTCAGAGATTACTACGCAGTGATCGAAGGATCTTCTTGGCAAAGAGAGCAGAAGAAACAGAAATGGATATGAGAAACAACAAAACTCATGACGCTTACAAAAAGCTCAAACACTTCTGCAAACCAGCATGTTTCAAGAAATTACCCATACTTACTCTACAGGAAGGAAACAATTACATAGACCCTGAAAAGCAAATGGCTATCTGGACAGACTTCTATATGTCAGCTTTTGAATCCAGAATTCCTTCTAAGATAGCGGGCTTCCAACAGCCAGGCTTGCCATTACCCCACTCCAATTTCTCCCTCATAGAAATCAACAAAGCCATAAACAAGCTAAAAAACAATAGAGCTCCAGGCTCTGAAGGGATTAGAAACGAGCATATGAAAGCCGCTCTAGAAAGCATTTCTAAATATTTATTAGCCATATTCACAAAAATATGGCATTCAGGCAAAACCCCCGATGATTGGAATAAATCAACAATCTGCAACTTCCCCAAAAAACCCCACCCTTCATCGTTCGGAGATTACAGAGCCATTACTCTTACTTCTACAGTTTCAAATTTGTTCATGGTTCTCCTGAAGAACAGAATCCTCGCTTCTACCAAAGATCTCTTATTAAGTAATATTTGCGCCTACAGGCCAAACAAGAACAACAATGAACCCATCCTAGCTCTTAAAATCTATCTCCACAAGTGCTTTATATATAAACTTCCTTTTATATTTACTTTCATAGACTATAGCAAAGCCTTCGGCAACGTGAAACACGATGCCCTTTGGGAGGCTCTAAAAGAATGCAATATTGGTCAAAACGTAATTAAAATTTTTAAATACCATTACAACAACTCTTGGGCCAGGTTACAGCTAGACCAAACTTTCTCACCTTACTTCAAGATTAGAAGAGGCGTGAAACAAGGCTGCGTACTATCACCTATTCTTTTCAATATAATCATAAACAAAATCATAGAAGAAACCACGAGCACTATGAACCTAGTTGATCTATCATCAAACAATAATAATATCAATCACCTATGAATCATCTCATACGCAGATGACCTGGTTTTAATTACCAAGTCAAGAGATGAGACAATAGACTTACTAACAAGTCTCTGCTTTCATAGCAACAAGTTTAACCATCAACTTTAATAAAACTTTTACTATGCCATCGCCAGATGCGTCTATAAATAACTTAACATTTGAGGGAAATGAAATTAAAATAGTTAACAATTTCAAATATCTTGGCGTGCTTATCGACAATAAAGGAAAGTGGTGAAATCGAAGCCCGACTAAAAAATGCCAAAATAACCTTCATGAAATACCATAAACTCTGGATAGCCAGAGAGATCTCAGTCAAAACGAGACTCCGCATATTTAACGTTACAGTCATCTCAGTCCTCCTCTACGGCAGCGACACTTGGAAAATAAATAAATCCCAGACAAAGAAAATACAGGTTTTCGTAAACCGTTGTCTACGCCAGCTTAACGGTGTCTTTTACCCAAGATTAATTTCAAATGCCAGCCTTTGGCGAATTTCAAAAAATGTCCCGATCGAGACTACTCTCAAAAAAGACGTATTCAACTCTTTGGTCATACCATAAGAAATTTCAGACAAAATATAGTTCATGAGGCCCTTATGAAGGAAAATCCTATGGTAAATACAAGTCAAATTGGCTGTACAAAACGATAAAAGATTGCATAAGTCTAAATCTGACGATGGACCAATTCATACGCCTAAACAATGAAAAAGGTTCAATTAAAAAGCTACTAAAAATCATATCCAACTATCTAAACCCTCCAAACCTCTCTGCTCCCCCCTAAGCATAAGTTCCACCTTCCTCCCGCCATGGTAAACATACATTCATCTATAAAACTCCTCATTTACCTAACCTTGATATAACTATCCAAAACATACTTAACTTATGCTATCATCCCTCTAAGCTAATATTTTTAAGTAAATAAGGCAGTTTTTTTAACACAATAAATCAATATTTATAATATAAAAACAAATTCAATACAGATCATCATAAACTTAAAATCAACCAATACCCCTCCCTATAATATATATTTTACTTAATCGGGTACGGGCTTTTCTTTCTCTTCTTGTTTCCCGTAGGCGTTTAAGCAAGTGGTTTTGCCTCTTGCGCGCACAGGTAACTGCAGTCTGCCCAAAAATTTGTGGATGAGATCATCTCATAGGCTACAGCCAAATTTCTTAACCCAATTAGATGGGACGAGATAGTCCAAGCGTAGCTCTGCTGTTTCATATAGCGATAAAGGGCAATTGCGCTTATTATGACGTATGACATATTTACTTTTTTAAACATTCTCATATCTTTTGATAACTTATATAATTTATTATAACAAAATATCTCTAAAAAATAAAAGGAAGAAAAAAAATATTATTTAATTGTTTTAAAAAAATATATTCCGAATCCCCATGGGTTTAAAATATTTTAAAAAAATTCCGAATAAAATGTGTGGATTCAAGATCTCGAATCCCACATGATTCCATATCCCAATAAGACATATATTTAATTTTTTTTAAAAAAAAATATAATAAAATATCCTGTGTATGTCGCAGGGGTTTTGCGATGGATGTTAGTGTATTTTAACCATTTATGCAACTTCTAAATAGTTGATTAAAATAAAATAGATTCGATCCATAATTTACTCTTAAAATAATCTTTATATTATTAAAGAACTTTACTCAACCAAAAGTAAGATTCTTTCATTTTATATATACTACTAATTAGTAAACCCAAGTCTTATCAAATAAATTAGCCTAATTGTATTAGTCCCACTTTAAAATAATTTATAAAAGAAGACATACAATGTTAGTTTTTTATATTAAATGATTCCACAAAATGGTATGCTACAGGCGCGTAACCAGACGGGTGGAGGGGGGGGGGTTGATGAATTGTGAAGTGCAACATATTCTATTTCAAATAGGTTGAATTCTTTTTTAAATAAGTTATATTCTATTTTCAATTTTATAAAAAAAGTTAAAATTCATTTAATTATTTTTCTTCCTTGTATAGTAATATTTTATCGCCAAAATGTAAAGTGGTTTCTCTTACATTTTTTTAACCTTAAACATTGATAGATATAAGGAAATTTTATCAACCAAAAAAAATCTATTCAATGTATCTCTACTAATAATTATGTATGATTAGGCAAATTTTATAGAGTTTATGAAATTCAGATATCCAAAAATACAGAATTTGCTAAATATTCTGAGATTTCTTGTTCTACCAAAAGAAATGAACTGCAAAAAGCATACTTGACAAGATAGTTCGACATCAAGATGTTACAGCATTTTTGGATCTAAAAGAGCCTGTTTTGCCCCTAGAGAACCTGAACCAGATATTACCTGAAGCTGATATATTATTAGATTCAATATGACAGCCGATTTTTTATATTGGAATTTATTAATAAATTCTTTAATTATAAAACAATTTTTTTTTCAATATTTTCAAAAAAAATTATATGGATTTGGTTGTTGTTATGTGAATCACTAATATTTATATTACAACTTACAAAACTAAGGGATAATATCAATTAAGAATTTCACGAGATTTATTTAATTTTTGAGGCGAAAGCAAAATTATAATTATATAATTTTGCTATTCGCAATTCTCGACTTTTATCTAGATAAGCAAAGCAAATCGTTCTAAATTAATATGAACTTAGATCACTATAAAATAACTGTTATTATTCCATGTTTGACTCAAATATATTTTAGATAAATGTTGTTTATAACCTTATTTCCAAATCTGTTTTTAAAACTTTTACTTTTCCTTATCTCTATTCGACTTTTATGTAAGAGCTCTAGGATATTATTTAGCTGTTAGCCAGGCTCCTTTACATAAAATTCAAATGTAGCTAACCAAGGTTAAAAAGAGAACTTTGACATAGTGTAACGTTTATTTTATTATTATCTCACAATTTTATAACTTATGAACATTTCGTTCTTAAAATTATACAAATATTCATTTATTGCGCTTACTTAAACTATATCATTATGTGATAATATAAAATATACGATGTTTTAACTAAAAATTATATATATAATGTAAATTTTCACATTTATTTTTAATATGGATGAAAAATCATTATTAAATTAAATTAAGATATTCTTATTTAAGTTGTTCCCATTGAAGATTCCACATCGACACCCAGTAATTTATATTATTTTATATGTATTTTAGCCTAAACTTTTGAAACCTCTAAAAGTGATTCCTTAATTATTCAATATGTTGATCATTGGAGTCAACTCTCAAACTAATTAAATTCATTAATAAAATTATTTCATAGTGTAAGTAAACCAAGAATAAATAGTTTTATTGATGTTTTACTGTTAATTTTATTAAGTGACCATATCCCTTTTTTTAAAATACAAGTTTAGTTTTTTATAGACCTTTTAGAAATAATTAGAAAATGTTAGCACGCATAAATCAATGCTCATAAAATGTCTAAAGAAGATTCGATATATCATAACTGTCACATTCAGTGCATGATATCATATTAATTTAGTAAACTTTATGATAAAATATCACATTTGATGATGTTGTGAGAGTAACAATTTGAATCGGATTCCCTTATTAATTTTTTTGAAATATTTTAAGATTTATTTCAGAGTCTTTAGAATTTTGTTAAAATTTTCTATAATGTTTAATAGAAATGATATAATTTAATAATTTATTTTAAAATTATCTCTTATTAAAAATAAGAAAAACTTCTTAACTCGACAAAATGTCATATTTTTCTATTAAAAACTCTTATTTTCATTTAACATATTTAAAGAGGTTCATAGTCAATCTGGTTTTTTCATAAGTGTTTTGTCATGGTTATAAATTAAAACATTTTGGATAAGTTTATTTGGATAAGTTTATTTGGATAAGTTTATTTGGATAAGTTTATTTGGATAAGTTTATTTGGATAAGTTTATTTAGATCTCACTATTTTATAACTTATGAACATTTTTTTTTGAAGGAAACACCACTAGTTAATAAATAAATATTTTGCAATTATTTTATACTACACTTATTATTCTTGTTAAAAATCCCGATTTGGGTCTATTTTTTAGTCAAAATACTATTATGTAAGCTTCGAGATTTTAAAAATAGAGTTCCAGTCCAAGCCTTAATATTATTTTGGCTAAAATCTTAATTGGCAGTTTTTAAAATCGACTCAAATCGTGCTTTTTGACAACATTACCACTTATGTTATTATTAGTAAATATAAAATAAAAATACATGATACATGATTTCTAATATAAATAATTAGAGTAAATTCACATTTTTCTTTATAAAAATTAAGTAGTTCCCATTGAAAATACCGAATCTACATTGGGTGATTTATACGTTATTTTTTATTTAATTTATAATATAATTTTGAAGTCTCCTTATTTATAATCTATTTTTCTCTCAACTTTCCTGCCTTTGGGTTAGAAAAAAAAGGTTAGTCCCACTGGCCCCTTACTTTATTATAAATGAAATTAGAAAATATATCATTAACTTAAAATATTTATAATATTTTTCTATTACAATGTCATGTATTAAATATAAATATTCAGCATTCTGAAAATTTAATCCACGACTATTGTATTCTTTTTTAAAAATAGGATATGAATGTGAGTATGAAACATTTAATAGAGGGAATTACTGATTTAAACCAGTTTTTTATGTAATGTAAACCGAATACTCCTAATTTTAGTAGGGATCAGGTTCTGGCTCTCACGGCAGGATTTCAAAGTGTCTGGCGACTATATATTTATCTCATCAAATCAATACATTGATTATTCGGGTCAATTCTCAAACCATTTAAATTCACTAATAATTTATGAATATTATTTTAAGTGGACTTTTTCTGTTAATATTAAAGTGACCAAATAGCTATATTTTTTTATCAACTTTAAAAGGATTAGTTATTATAGGCCAACAGAACTAACAGAAAACAATAACAAGCATGTAGTCATATATATAAAATTAGCAAGGAATATTTTGTTCATCATAACTCCTACTCAGCTCAGGGCA